AACAAAATTTTCAACAGCCTCTTTCCGGGCTTCCAGACGCCTACCCAACTCACGGAGATGAGAAATGGAGGTAACGTCAACTAACGCCAATTGATTCTGATAAAATGGGGCTATGTTCTTCATGAGAACCTTCAACTTCGTTTCCTCCGGGACCGTACAAGTAAGCCTATTAAAGTAACCCGTCATCACGGCCAAATAAATCCCTATCGACTCATCCGGACCTTGAGTTCGCTTTTGTATCTCATCAAACAATTTTTCGTTGTAGTTGGGAGTTAGATATTCCTCGCGAAGCAAACTAACCAGTTCATCCCACGAGCCCACTTCATGACGATATGCCAGATAGAACTGATAGGCTCTGCCTGTGAACAAATCTATCCCCGATTCGAGTAGAGTTTCCTTGGAAACATGACGTGCCACCCGCAACTCCTCGACCCGCTCTAAGAATGCGCTCAAGGAAAGACCCTTCTTGTCCCCTGAAAACTTTATATCCCATTTGCTAGGTAACACGGGTTTGACATTAGACGGCTGAGAAGAAGGAACCGGACCAGCAGGTATACTTGAAGATCTTCGTACTTGAGATATGCCAGCCGCGAAACTAGTAGTCTGTTGTAATAGGTTGAGTTGAGCTGGAACATTCAAGGCTGCTTCGAAGTCAACAGCCTTTTGATGCAAACTTTCCAGAAGTGATAAGGCTTTGGCTAGCATGACCGGTCTATCACCTGAAGATTCACCAATATAATCTATACGAGTCAGAACATACTGCAGTTTTGCCTCATACTTGAGATAGGTACCACTGCTTGAAGAGTCCTTGAAATTGTTGACAAGTGGTTCCAATTTGCTCAACTTTTCCTTCACTGCTGCGACATCTTCTTCCAGCGTGAATGGATATTTGGGCCACAAGACTGTCTCCCCACTTTTCTCTAATCTCAATGCCATCGCCAACGTGTGCCGCATCTCCTCCACAGTACTAGTAGCTATACCTCTAATCGTGACCAAATAGTTCAACTCCTCTTGGTTGAGGCGATTCAGTTGGAGACGGCGAGCCATGTTTAGAGATAAAGATTACAGAAGACACTACCAAGTGAAACCAGATCACGAAAACAAAAAAAAACAAAAAAACAAAAAAAACAAAAAAAAAAAAAAAAATCGAAGAGAGAAAAAAAAATCTATCACACACGCTAGGTAACCCTACTTTTTCTTTGAATGCCCCACGTTGGGCGCCAAAAATGCAACCTAACTAATCGTGCTAAGCACAAGGTCACTAGACCACTATTGTTGAATAACAAGTGGGCATCCGCACCAGCTACAGCCGAAGAAGGGGAGGTTCGTTGTAGGGAAAGTTAAAAAAATAACTAGAAAATATGTTGTTGAATGGGCGCCAGGCGAATTTACCCCGTGCAAATACCCTTCGTTGATCAAACTCAATCTTTCAAATTCACCAAATCAAGATTGAGGCTAAGTTATCACAAAGGTCGAAAATATCAAATAAAATACGGGTCACCCTCGAATGTGTTTATTGATTTACAATTCATATAAAAAAAACTGTCAATGATGAGACAGTTCAGAGCCTCAGTACCAACTTTTACCAAAAAAAAATATAAATCCGAACACCAATGCACAAAACCTAAAGCCAACTAAGCAGTGACCGATAATAGCAACAACAGCCTTGAAGTCACCTAAACATGCAGCAAGTACAAGGTAAGGGCAGCGTAGAAATTAAAGGGCCGCAGTCAAGTATATTATGTGTCACGGAAGGGCAAAACGCAGCGCATGAGCTCAGGCGCAGGTTTGGGGTAGATATGGCCTCCGACTTAACGATACCGCGCGCACGATAATTTCCACTTACAAGTCCACCCAGGGAGTATCAATAAATAGAGACAAGAAACAAGCTTATTTAAACTCGGGATATAAAACATCAAATTATACACCAACTAGAGGATTTAGTAGGTAGCTTAGCAAATTTAGCGGATTTAGCAAATTTTAGCACATTCAGCAAATTTAGCAAATTTAGCAAATTTAGCAAATTTAGCAAATTTAGCAAATTTAGCAAATTTAGCAAATTTAACAAATTTAGCAAATTTAGCAAATTTAGCCAATTTAGCAAATTTAGCAAATTTAGCAAATTTAGCAAATTTAGCAAATGTAGCAAATTTAGCAAACCCAGCAAACCTAGCAGACCTTGCAAGTTGGCCAATCTAGCCAAATTTATCAAAATTAGCAAATCTATAAAATTTTACAAATCTAGCAAATCTGGGATCCCTAGCACATTCAGCAAATTTAACAAAGCTAACAAATTTGGCCTGTTTAGCAATTTTAGCAGATTTAGCAAATCTAGAAAATTTAGCAAATTTAACAAAGTTAGTCAATTTAGCAAATACAACAAACTTGGCAAAGTTAGCAAGTCAGCGAATGTGGCAGATCTTCTAATTCCCATTATACTAGAGTTCAAGCATATATAGGAAATCGAACAATTTTAGCAGGTTCAGCAAATTCCAGCAAATACAGCAATCTTCACAAAATGTTCAAATGTATGGCTGCTACGAAGTTAGTATAGCAAATAAGACTAATTTAGCAAGTTTAGCACCTTTAGCAAATTTAGCAAATTTAGCAAATTTAGCAAATTTAGCAAATTTAGCAAATTTAGCAAATTTAGCAAATTTAGCAAATTTAGCAAATTTAGCAAATGTGGGTAAAGCAAAGCATTGTGAAATAATTAAGGGTCATTAAAAACTTGCGTGTCCTCAGTGGTGCAGCTCTTCAATGGTGTCACCCTGTATAAGTGAAGAGGTGGGCCTCACGGTCCCGGTGAACTCTCTTAGGCGCTGTTGGATTGGTGATAGTACCCTTGTTCCAATAGAAACGCCCTGTACAATGCCATGTATGATGTTGAAGGTTGGTTTGGTATCCAAAATAAAAACCCCTGGCCAAGAGGTTTGTTTTATCCTTTTGTTATTTATGTCAATAACGTCGACAGTGCATAAACGGGTGGATCAACATCTGGTAAGTGATAATAGGCCTTATTGCATCTGTCCTTAAGGAAATGACGATACCATGAATTCTATCGACAAGAAAAAAAATGCTTCGTTAGATTCTGGAAACACGGGATCACCACAAAGATAGCACAACACAAAAAAAATGCAAAAGGTAGTCCACATACCTAAGTATACAACTGGTATCCTGAGGGAGCAGCTCGGATAACTTCACGTGAGAGAGTTTGGCAAAACTTCAGATCCTCGTAACGAGTCCAATTTGGGTCAGCATTCCAAAATATCCACAAAATATCAACCAACTGACACCGACATCGGTAAATATAGTCAACAAAAATAATCCCCTTGCAGGATGATACCAATAATCAAAATTTTGTGACTAACGTTTCGCCATTACTCTAACTCTCAACCACTAGAAGTCAAAATGAATGAATACCCCCAGAACACCACAGGTGTCGCCTCGAGCAACCACTTGTCAAAAGAAGCCCACAGAACAATGAACTATGGTGACGTCACTCCATCTTGGTGCAATAGATGTCGACACTAAAGAAGGTAACCTATCCGCCTAAAATTCCCTTCAGGATGAAAGACTTGATGAACAGAACTCTGGTACTCTCCATACAGCAAACCGGGTGAGTATACGTAGCTATATCCGCTAAAATATAATTTTACAACCCAGGAATTTATATTTCCAGATATGGCCACCCTGCACTAGAGATTGGCACTTACTAATGGATCGATACGAATGATCAGCGCCCAGCTCTTTCACATCTGTCATAAATCAGACTTCATCACTTGACGCCCATGACAATAATGTCAGGTATGTCATGATGTCAAGTCAAATGATGTAACAAACAGCAGCTCGCTGTGTAAACAAAGAAAAATAAATCGTATCCAAATATTCTCCGATTATACCAGCCTGATACGATTAGAAGCGAATAAACATTGGATTCAACCAACTATCTGGTAAGTCTGAAAGTCAACTTAGTACATCTTACAAGTCTCTATACAATCTCGCCTATAGTCTACTACCATACTCAATTGATCAATACCTAAGTAAATAATTATGTTTATATGTTTTCAGGGTTCATAGCGGCGCTAACTACACCGAAACCGATGAATAAAGAATCGATGAGTGTGTTGAAATGCTACGAAAGCCAGGTGAGCCATTATTTGGAAGCAGTGCAGAAAAACCTGTTAGACACACAGATCTACTTCAGGGATACCTATCACACGAAAGACAGATAGAAGAATACCTTTTTTTGCGTTCATTGTGCTGTGAGAATAACAATAAATAAATTAAGGTACAGGGTGATCGAAAGGCGAGTTTTATTTATTCTATTTTTCCTGGTTGTGTAACGAAATGAGTTAACGTGGAAATTGAACGTTACACGCTGCCAATCTTTGGTAGACACGATGTCAGGGTATGTTTATGAAAGTAAAACAAAGTTAGGATTTGATTGAATGTTAATGCATACAGTTATTATGTATCAGAATATGGATATAAACCTGAGAAAGCGAAAACTTTGACACCTGAGCGAATCGAAGAGTTTTTATTTACTATTTCAAATGAAATATTATTCTCAAAGGTCAGTAAACAATCCATTTCAATAGAAATCGATGTATCCAATACTGAACAGACATCTACAACCGTTATTACTTATACGTGTCGCGTTGGTTGCATGCAGTTGCATAGTATTATGTATTATATTCTCAATTTCCATTCCCTTCGACTTTTCATGTATACAGGTTAACGAGGTAGGTTAGTCTTATCTTCGGAATTATGCGATCTTGTGGGAAAGAGGAAGTATATGAGTTCGTAGGAGGAGTGTCGTATGAAACGCGTTCATAAACTCTTTTAGACACTCATTCTTAAACTCTCGCTCCGCTCTCCTGCGCTCGTGTCTAAAATACTCCTTACTAAAATGACGTTTATAACACTTGTTTCATAATGTACTATTAATCCCCTCGTTCATTAGATCACGTTAATTCTCGTGTTCGTGTTATTTTCAGCCTCCCACCCGATTCTTCTTCAAATCACCCCTCTCCTGGGTGCCCTAATTGGTGTTGTAGCTGCCCTCATCCTCGTAGCCATCATCATCGTCGTAGTAATACGTCTACGTGGGGGAGGTGACAGAGACGACAAGGACTACGATGACAGCGGTCTATCTTCTTCTGGCAGACGATGTACAGCCGCAAATAGCGACAAGGTGAGTTAGTCATACGTCATAAGAAAAAGTGTTGCTGTATCTTCTGTCATCAATATTCCTCGATAACTCATATACTGGGTGTTCCGAAACTATTGTGCCAAAATGTAAGGGTGGGTAGATCTCGTCAAAAAAAAACGTTTCTTACTCATTAACCCATAGGCGCATGCGCCTTATCTCGGTACTAATAGGTATCACAAGAAAAAAGTTCAACATATGTACATACTCAAATAATATCGATATTGAGTGCCCAGCTCTACCGATTTTGACGTTCGAGACCAATCGCCGCAGTTTAACATATATTATGTACATGCACTAATAATATCGATATTGAGTGCTCAGCTCTACCGATTTTGACGTTCGAGACCAATCGCCGCTCGCATTGCGTAGGCTACCTACTCATTTATTATTGCGTCGTGGCAATGTGTAAAACCTAACTTAATCTGAATTGTAGTATTGTGTTTTTTTCAATAAACTCTCCCAAATATTCCTTGTGACTTCATGTCATTTGTCCTTGGACCGATCTTGTTTTCGGTATATCTTAACGAGCTCCTCTCTCTGAATACTGAAGGAACTATAGTGAGCTTTGCTGATGACACTGCCATCTTCTACCAGTCCTCATCATGGCAAAACCTGGAAGCAACCGTGGAACAAGAGATGGGCACTATAATTAACTGGTTCAACCAACATATTTTAACGATCATTTTCCAGAAGACATATCTTACCTCGCATTCTCTTGTAAGGAAAATGGTTTACCATATTATCAAAAACTAACCATAAACAATAACACAAGTGTCGTGGATATCAAGTCGTCGGAATCAGTTAAATATTTAGGAATTACTATCGATAGCCATCTCCGATGGAACACTCACATAAAAAAAGTTCGACAGACCATATGTAGCCTATTGTACATAAAACATATGAAAATATTTATATAAGAACATTAGAGGTTATCCAGAAGACGATTCTCAAAATTATCCTCAATAAAGATCGTACATATTCCTCAGACTTGTTGTACGAAGAATCTAATGTATTTGACATAAAGCAAATTTTCTTTCAAACAATTGTTATATACCAGCATAAAAAATACATCTCCTTCAATTAATTGATCACTCACAAAACACTAGAGGCAAATCGAATTTACAAGGTAAAACAGCAACAGCGAAAAAAACCATAGAAAAAAAAACTACCGATACTTATGCAAGATTGTATAATAGTATTCCCATCGAGATAAGGTCCATTGCCTCGCAATCTATCTACAAAATCAAATTAAAACAGTACATGAAAAACAAAGACAGAAAAGACTTCACCCGACTCATAGAAAATTGAAAATAAATTTATTGATGGAACCATCATATGAAATGTTGCAAATTCAAACTCATTAATAGGAAATGAAACTTGATTTTCAAGAATAAATGAACACCCATACCACGTACAGTAATTTTTATGGGATTCGTCTAGTTTATTTGCGAAACTTGAATTTTGTGAACCTAAATAATACACTTTTCTTAAATCATTCATAAAATCATTATATTATCTGTCAATGTATGCTTTTGTTATTCTTATATCTGCAAATAAACATTATTATTATTATTATTATTATATTACTAACACGGTTTCCGGTACAAACACGTTTCCCCGTGTCCGAGGTTGGATACCACTGCGCGGACCTTAAAATGCGCTAGATGCTATGCTATGGTATGGGTTAATAAGTGAAAAACGTTTGTTTTGGCGAGATCTACTAACCCATAAATTTTAGCATAATAGTTTCAGAACACCCTGTATAGTGTCGGGTTAAAAGCGATAGTTATCATTATTTCCAGTATAACACACACTCACATTTCTATAGCTGGAATCAAACTTGGCGAATATCGATCAATGTTACCTAACCAAGTTCAAATTGTTCGATTTATTCTAAAATAATCGTTGTCTTACGAAGGCGAGCACTGAGCCTCTCAACAAGGATCTGAACGACAGTGTGGATAGCCTTGAAGAGAAAAATCCAGACATCATTCCACAAAACAACGCCGAGGACGAGTACCAGGATGAAGAGCGAGCGTTCGAAAGGTTGAACAACGCTACTATGAGAGCCTACAGTCGGTTGCAGAGTCCGATTACACAGGCCAAGAATAATGGAACGTACGATTATGGCACGAAAACGGTTAGTTATTTGGTATATTTTTACTTGTCTCTGTAAAATAGTATACACCCTGTCCAAGATAACTTTGTCTATCATGGTGATCTCGGAAACCATCAGAGATACGATGGTAGTTGAATCAGAGGAAAGTTGAGTATCTTTGAGCTTAAGAATATGCCGTTCAGAAAGTCTCAAAATCCCAAGTGGTTCCGGAGATATGCTTGAAAAAACGAAGTTTTTCGATTTAACTTTTATTTTTTGTGACGTTATTCAAAGAGATATAGGACAACAGAGAACACTTTCTCATTGCTACTTTTCAAGCTCTACAAAACAATGTTGGAAGATCTAATACAGGGTTCACTTTTTTACGGACCTTATAAAAATATGAAATTGATGAAGGTTTCTCCGAAACGAAGCGTCGTAAGAAAATCTCTCACTGCTGTTTTGTAGAACTCAAAAAGTTGCAATCAGAAAGAGCTCTTCGTTTTCCTATAACTCTTTGGATAACGTGATGAAAAAAATGAAAATAAAATCGATTCTTCGGTTTTTTTTTAGGCGTATCTCCGCCGGAACTACTAGAGCTTTCATAACGGCGTATTGTTAGTCTTAAAACAAGGGTCATTGTGGGGTCTGACCAAATCAAGCAATGGGTTCGGTCCTATACAATCCTTTTATTTCGTTGAGGAATAACATAAGCGGTTTCTCAATGTATACACCCTGTTTACTAATCTAAAATATCAAAAATCATCGTTGGATATTTTTAACACGTGAGCAAGACATTTGTACTATATCTACTAACAATATCTATCATTTTACCTTGAGTAACAATTTATAAATTTCCAGATTTCTACAGAAAAAGGGCTTACCTAGACCAGGCTGCTGGCTCCAACTCAATGGGGAAAGCAAAAGGCCGTTTTGGCTCTATAATTAGATATACTTTAGGATCTATAATATTTTCCACCTGTCTCTCTGAATGGAAATAAAATGAAAGAGTCAATTCGATAGCATTGCCTACGAATCGAACATCAGCTTTTTTGCTGGTTCTATCCGAGGACTTCACAAAAAACCTTACCTTCAAAACACGGTATAAAATTCAAATTGGACATGCGCGCGCCCTCTATGAGTCAACAGAATAAACACAGTATAGGTACTGAGAAATGTCGTTACAGGAAACTGGAGAATATGGGACCTACTGAATATTATTATAGAATACTTCATCCACTATATATAATAATACAATGCTTCAACGGTAATGATTGAATTATTGATAGAGTAACCAAAAACTTGTAATTCCTAATAATGTTTCTGTGTAATATGGAAGAAACATACAAACATAACACAAAGGCTAATTATTATGATAGAAAGTTACCCAAAACGTCAAAAATAACAAACACACTTTAGGTACGATATAAAGGGGAATGGAAAGTTCCGTTTCACTCTTCAAAATGCGCAATTTCTCTCCATCAACCATCTTGGTATCTCTCATGGTTTCCGAGCTCCTCATGATAAACATCCTTATCTTGGACACATTGTATATAATATGTATACTATGAAATTGTGCTTTCAACACCCATTTTCCATGGCTTCCACTTTCCGCCACGTAACTTTCACGCTAGTACTTTCTCACATCTAGTATCTAATGATAATGATAGTGATATGGATAACGTTCATTGTTTCCTGATATAAAATTCTAGAATAAGAATCATGTCAGAGCGTGGTCGGTATTTGTATACATGTTTTCCATCAAAAGTCTTGAAACTTACCACATATTCTTCAGACCAAAATAAGTAGATAAGAGCAATTTCACCCAAGTATAAAGTTGCTTAGATTGACCGCTAGACGGCTCTGATATTACAATTATCAAATCGTTTTTGCTTCATATAACTTTGATAGGGCTAATGCGAGATTTCACTCAAATTTGGTACGTTGGCAGGGTTGGCATAGCTTTATACAGGGTGAGTCATGACGAACTGTAGATACTCCTACCACGAGTAGAGGCCCTTGAGGAAAATGTCTAATGACCATCAAAAAGTATAGTATTCTCTTCTTTACCAACATACTTAGGGTTAATTATGAGATTTGGCAAGAACATCTTTTGGGCATAACTTTTCAATAGGTCCTTCGATTCCCTAATCGACTGACATTTCCAGAAAATCCAGGACCATTTTTGAAAAATTTCGATAATCTAGTTTTTATCAAATAGTTCATCCTGTATATGGTTTTTGTAAACTGTGACAGGAAATTTCCAAAGCACATAAACAAGTATCAAGAATAAAATATTCAAAATTCAACTCACACTTTCACTGAATTTTTCAAAAAACGATGAATTTCAACCAAAAACGGAACTTATTCATTCGAAAATAATTACTTCGCAACGCATAAATTTCACAAATCATAGTGCAACTCACATTCCCAATGCTTTAGTCCATTTCCAGGCCTGGATTTCGTCATTCAATTTTTTGTGGAGGGTCATAATCACCCTGTAGATCTTTTTCGAATCAGTGGTTGTGGTATCTGTTCAGATGTTAATTTTCATCGATTCAAATGATTCAAGAGAGTCGAACAGAAAATAAAGGTTTATACACAATTATTATTCAAAAGCTAAATTGACGAAGGCGGATAATAATTTCAGTACGGAAAAATAAATGACCAGATTAACTGAATAAAACAAATCGAATAAATAAAACTGTGAATCAAAATTATAAGATTTTTAGATATAGCGATGGCCATCAACATTTTCACAAATACCTCGTCCACTGATTCAGAAAGCTCTGCAGGGTGATTATTATCCTCCACAAAAAAATTTAATTACTTAATCCAGGCCTGAAGATGAAATAATATGTTGATTGCCATCGAGCTGAAGCATTGAAAATGTAATTCCCCCTTTTATTCCTAAAATGCATGGGTTGGAAAGTATTAATTTCCAAATGAATACATTTTTTGCCAAATTTTCGTTGTCTTATGAAATTCATAGTTTTTTCAAACTGAAGTAGAAGTGTGAGAAAAATTCGGAATATTTTATTCCTGATGTTTTTATGACCTTTGGAAATTCCCTGTCACAGTATACAAAAACGATATACAGGATGAACTTTTTGCTATTAACTAAACTATCAAAATTTTTCAAGAATTGTCCTGGATTTTTCCGATTCTGAATAAGTCAGTCGTTTAGAGAAAAGTAGCGGCATATTCCATGCAAAAATCAGACGAATCGAAGAAGCTGTTCGAAAGTTATGACCAAAAAATGTTTTTGCCAAATATCATAATTCACCCTATATATTGAAAAAGCAGTGAAGAAGAAACTGATGGATATTAGGTATCTCCCTCAGGAGCCTTCATACGTGGTAGGAGTATGTACAGTTCCTCATGACTCGCTACCCTGTATATGGCAATAAAGCCCATATCATAGTTATGAAAACTTCAATTTGAACCATAAATATCATATAAAGTAACCCACTACGACGATAGAGGAATACCACAGGAGCAAGAAAGTTTTATTTCCAATTGTACAATTCAAAGAAAATTACTGTAGAGGAACCTTCGCATTTTGAATCTAGGTGCACTAAAAGGAGTTACATATTACTCTTTTCGTACTCATTCATCTACACTGTATAATATGTATGAGCTATAACCATAACTATAGTAGTAGAAAAAAGATAATGTCTTAATGGAAGAGCATAACAAATGGGTATTGAGCTTTATTTGAGCATGCATCCACACTAACCCCAATTGCAGGCTAGAGAAATACCGTAGACTAACCATTCTTTCAGACCCCCGACGAAATAACCTATGCTGAATTATCTCTCGCCCACCAACAGATGCCGCAGGTGATATACCAGCAGCAGCAGTGCATCCCCATGTCGGTGATCAGGCGGCAAGAGCCCACTGTGTACGCGCAGATCGACGTGAAGCGCATGCACCACCAGCAGCAGCAGCAGCAGCAGCACCTTCACCACGGGCTGCAGCCGCTAACCCCGCCCCACCCCGCGGCATTTCAGACGCTGCCGCACCACCCGCACCTGCCGCCCTACATGCCGAGGCCGCTGCGAGAGGACCCGATGGTGCACGAAGGCTCGGTCAGCTCCGAGACGCCTTTGCTTACCTCGAGGGATACTAGCGTGAGTTCCAAATAGTTTTATTTTCAAATACTGTGCAGGCAACCAGATGACAAATGTTCACGTCATTGTGTCGTCCCTAATTGGTGATTTTTCGTCAGAGACGTCACACACCAATTTATGACCTCACTATGACGTACTTCATATGACGTGATAATCATGTCATCGTTTCGACGTCGAGTGAACGTCACTCAGATGGGTAAAAGAAGACGTCAGTTTCATAACGTTGCAGGGACGTCCTGTCGACGTCCATTTTTTCCAGGGCTTCTCTACACCATGGATACTTATATATTATCATGTGAAACAGAAGTATAACTCATGAAAGCAAATCAACATGCAAGTTTTATTGGAATTATTAATATATCCGAAAAGTAGGACGAAACATTTTTCTGAAGAACTTTGAGACACTTTATATCTCGGAAACCAACAAGCTATGTATATTATACAAATGATTGTTTAGGTATACCTATATTGAAACCGTCACTCTTATGACGTTCCAGTGACGTATCTATGACGTCTAAAAATCACGTCGGTGTGACGTACCAATTTGGTGAGCTTCGTATTCAGAAAATTTTTCAATAATTTGCTATTCAGATATTTGTTGAGTGACAAAGAATGCATCAATATACATTATTCAACAAAGTGAAGCCAAATTTGCCAACATTCTTTCCATTGCTATCAAACTATTCTTGGTTTACTCACATCTCGCCGACACAAACTACATAATTTTTTATACAAATACGAGTAACTGATTGCATTCTGATGGAGATATGCGTACTAAAGGATAGCTCTGCTGAATTGAATGGACATGACACAGGAGGGACCCACCAAGCAGGCTCAACAAACAACTAAATTGCATGCGGGTATAGGGTGAATCACGCACGCTTATAAGAAAATGCAGTAACCGACACGTGCTGAGGAGGAGTGCAGTAAATACAGAGCATATATGCTGCACATTTGTTCAATATACTGCAGGAACTGCGTTTTTGTCTAGTATACACAATGAATTTTGTACATACTGCAAACAAAATCGACGGATATGTCCACTAATTATGCCATATACGGTGTTTTTTCTTAGTAAAGAGATCCCAAAATGTCCGTACTATACAATTATCTCAAAATCTCATAATTTCCATTTTTGCACATACGGCACTTTCACTTAGCAGGGCCAAATATCCTGCCAATCTCTTTAAGTATATATGTTTGACGTTTTGACCATATTTTTGTTTCCTTTACAGGTGCTTCAATCCTTATTAGATGTGAATACAAGTCGAACACCAACCATTACCTCCACTTTGCCCAGAACGGTGACTGCGACTCGGTTTTGACCTAATTAGATATAATTCCGAAGAACTGGTTTATTTATAAATGAATTTTTAATTGTTATACAATAACTTAATTAATGTTACCGTTAAATATTTAGGTGTTTTTATTGCTATCTGAAAAATTAGTTCATGTTCTCATGTTCATTATACATTCCAGCAGTTGCGGATATTGAAAACATAAGAATGTTGAAATTACTAATATTCTTATTCATACGAGCAGAAGATGTACCAAATTTGATATAAATCTCCTACCCAGTATATACTAACCACATTTCAGCGGCAAAGAAATATAAAATTCAAGTCATCCAAATGACTCGTTTCGGTAAAAAAAACTCAATTTATTCATCAAATTGTTTGAAGATGCCAACAACAGAACGAATCTCACAATATTAGTAAAAGCATCGAAACCTGCCTTAATAGTAGCCGTAGCCTAACTAACAGTAGACTGGCCAATGAATAATAACAATTCCATCGTGAAATAACCCTAATAGCACGCAACATTCTAGACGTCCCTATTTGGTATAATTCAAGTCCGAATATCCCGGACTTGAAATGATTGTCCTTGGGACGTCCCACCCCGTACATCTCATGTGATGTCCGAGCAAGGACGTCCACGGAATGTCCCAGCTGGTACATCATTTCAAATGTCCTTGTAATAGCATTCTTTAGACCCTCCACGTGGTGCATATTGCAGAATGTCCATGCAAGGACGTCCTTATGGTGTTAAACGTGTTAAACGTTCCTTTAGAGGAACATATTGTGGCATGATTTCAGATCTTATATAATGTCCTTTCTCGAACAACCAGGCTATAAATACTGCTCGTCATTGTTCTTCACGAAAGTCCATTGGACATCCTTGAGAAACTTCTTTGATCGGACCGCTTGAGAACCTTCTTCACTCCCAAACTGGATGTCCTCATCAGTTATGCAAGATCTGGTCCTAGGGATACCCAAATAAATTGAAATTCTAGAATAATTTGTACGTTCCTGGGACATCCTATGATCATCCAATTTATCCCTCAGCATTGCTGATGGGTAGTGCTCGATGAGAAATTCTTGATCTAAGTATTCGATAGTTGTCCCTGGGACATCCCTCAAGGACGTCCCTAGTTGGTCATCAAGTGCGACATATGTCCGTCCAATGGACGTCCGGGGTATCAAATTCGAACGTCCTATGGCCGTCGTGAATGTCCCGATGGACATAATTGTGTTATTAGGGAAAGTTGAAATATTTCCATCATATAATTCAAGAACATAGACACACAACTGTAAATAAGATTGATAGATTATCTGAACACGTTTCGGACTATATATAGTCAATCCAGAGTAGATTAAAGAATTGAAACAATTGAAATTACATGGTACACAATAAAAATAAATAAAGGTTATGTTTCCATGTGAAATTGAAAACTTCATGATATATTGAAGATTTTAATTCATTGAATGTGTAATTTCAATACCTTCTATTCTACCTGAGTAACCTTTATTTATTTCTATATAGTGCCTCAATATTAATTCTCATTGTAGAATCAGCTATAAAATACTTCAACTTCTATACGGATGATAGAATTTATAGTTTGAAATATGTTCAAAAGTTATCATACTTATCATCGAAAGTTGTGATATATTATGGACTTCTATCTTAGATCTATCAGTATTGTTGGGTAGGCACGACGAAATTAGGGATAAAACATAGTGAAAAGTTTTCAAATATCTTAGACACACTCCTCAATTCTGAATTCGATTCACACTGGAATGACATTCATTTCTCCTATTCATGCAGTGACAATTATTTAACTTAAGATTGTGATTAATTATCTTGATCCGAATTGTAAGTGTAGTATGTTCAGTTGAACATAGGATGTTATTCGCCAATTTCCAAATATCGATGAAGAATTTTGTAATGAAGGCATATTATTTTTGTGTAATTTGGAACTTGGTGAATCCAATCATCAATAATTTCATACGGACCCACTGATAGTTGAATAAACTGTTGTGGCCTGTGTAGGTATACATTTTCATAGCTGTGACTACAAATCAATTAAATGTTTAAAATTGTATGATAATAAATATTTTTATCGATCGTTCGTGTAATGAAATTATTAATTCATCGTGTATTAATTTTATTATAGAGCTGTTATTTGATCAAACCAAACTATATTACATTTATCTCCATGATTTTTTGAATGTTTCATCAATTCGATTGAACAAAACTGCCATATGTTTGCTACCTATTATGAATTAATATTAGACAGTTTTTTTAAAGTAGTAACTGATTATTACGATATGTGAATAAGACCTTTTGTGATCCCGAAAGATATAGAAATTGCTTCAACTAAGTGAATTTACTGAAATTTGAAGTTTAAACGAAAATGTTGGATGTCCGTCCAATATGATATGATGTGTAAAACCACTTCGAGCATATTTTCTTCGTGAATAAAAATAAATCCTTCGTTCAGCACCAGAGTATATATACAATTTGTGCCTATTAACTAAGAAGACATGTTTGAATGATAATTATTGCATGAAACATTCCTTGTGGTGTTTTATTGATGTTTATGTCACGGCTGATACACGCATGAATCGGATAATCGCTCATAAAACTGTTATGAATACAAAATGGTAGGTACATATGCGTATCCATTGAAAATGTCTCATTTTCATAACGTAATTGAATATCAATCCTGAAATTATTTTTGTCGAGCCGTCATTGTCGGCGTTGATATTATAACTCTTTGAAAACATTCTTTATTCGTCTTTTTCGTTATTTGATTCGATTTCCTTACATACAGTGTGCTATGCTGAAGATTCTCAAAACACCTTGTGGATAACGTAGGTGCATACAGCATCAAGAGCAAATTCCTCTAAGGATCATACTCTACCTTCATATCTTCCCAAACAGCGGTTCTTAAACTTTTGTTCTTCAAATCGAAAAATGTTGCGCCCTCTCAATCCGTAGAAGTCGACGTAGGGGTGCGCTCCACTGTTTGAGAAACACTGACTGTTCTTTTATTTGTACAATGTCGTTCACATTACCAAACAATTACTTATAGTTCAGTCAATGATGAATGTCAATTTATCATACACCCAAAAGCAAATGGAAGAGGCAGTTTTTTATTTGAGACTAGGGATATGTTCGGAGTAAATAGGAAGTAAACATACCAAACGTCTCCGAACTTACAAGGTGATCCAAGTGCAGAGAGCAACGTAGAAGGTCCTTTATTTTAATTAACGTTTATATCTCAAAAACGGTATGTCTCAGCAAAAAAGTATATCTATTCGAAATGAGTGTTCACGAAATGTTTTACCAAATTGTTACCTATCTCCCAATGTTTTTGGGATATTTGCTAGCAAATCATGTGAATTTTTGAAAATCGCTTTCTTTATCTAGCATATTTTAACTGCACAACCTTCAGTTTTTCATCAAAGTATTCGACGTAGAAGTCGCAGAGGATTCGATCACCTACGAGATGTTATGTCACATACCTATGTATTTTGTTCATATACAGGGTGGCATTGAAATAAGTACAAATATTTCAAATACTGAGAAAGCTGGACGTGTACTATCGAATGGCACTAATGAAAAAAATTTAGAGATCAAAATAAAATTTGAGGTTATACCCTACTATTTTCCACCCAAAGTTCTGAACTGTAGCAAATCTGACGTCACCTATGTTCAAATGTCCATGCGGTACGCACAATCACGCGGAGTTCAATCATTTAAATTGTTTTAAAGTGGCGTACTTGATTTTTTTCTCGTATTTTGTTAAATCTTTGGGATGAAATTTCTCGTTAATTAGAAGAATCAGAAAAAATCTGATGTCACGGGAATATTCCTTAGACTGTATCATATTGATGTGCTGAATATGTGCACTTATTTCAAAAACACCTTGTATATCATATCTATAATATTATATAGTGTATCACTTGTATCTGTATCTTTTCTATTTGTTGAGTTAGGATTCTGAAATTTGTAGGAGCGGAGATTCACTACAAACACAAACTCTGACCAAGTTACCACCCACATTTCCGAAAAATGATATCAGGAGGAAAAATAGGTTTAAAATCAATTCTGATTCGGAATGAGGACCATATTCATTCCGGAAAAGCTTTAGTTCTGAAAAATTGAATTTTCATGATTCGCTAGCGAATGCCGTGATAACTGTGGGAAAAAACCTATTGATACCATTTTGTTGACAATTCCATCAGCTACAATTTTGAAATTGCTGTGACGTGCCTTTCTTGAGATATGAACGAAAAGGGGACTATCTATGTCGCTCTCTGAAATTGACTCACCTTATATAAGTTAGGGAACTATTGGAATTTGTACTTCCTATCTACTCCTAATACATCCCTATAGTCTCACAAAAACTGTTCTCTTCCATATCCTCTCCATCCCTTAATTGGACGTTCATTGACTGGAGTATTAATCCATAATATTTGATTGAAAATTTGACATTCATCGTTCATACATCTTTTTCTGAATAACATTCACATCTACTACCTATATCCAATTAATTAAGGTTTTGATCTCATCTTCGTCGATATTTTCATGAATGTTTTGTAGCCTCAGAATGCCACAGACGAATACCTACCTCTGGTTGGTTAATAGTGTGGACAATGGAATGGCAGCCAGAAGTTTAGCTCTCTCAAAAATACTATAAGCGATTCGGCATATAATATCAACCAAGAGACAGAAACCTCAATTATTTCAAGTATGGGTAGTCGTTGAATAGTTTTCATCCATAATATGTGAGATCGTCGACATTAGATTCTTAGTCACATGTTCGTGTATATATTTGATAACAAATTATAAGTACCTACATTTTCTAATCCTGTGATGAAAAGATGAAATGTCAAATGAAAAGTGATGTGATTCTCACCAGCACTTCTTTGTGATCTCAACAGCTCTACTATGTCTACAGGGCGTTATGGATATCATCAAGAAAAAACAATATCTGCACCATTTGTACAGGGTGAGTCATAACTATTGTGAGATAGGCTAAGGGCTGATTGTTTGGACCAAAATATGCCGATACAGGGCGTTTCAATCGTATTGACTATATACTCACACCAAAATTAATACACTGACAAGCCATGTAATATACCAGCAACAATTATCTGATAGTCCAAAGCATACTCTTCATAAATAAATGATATTTGGAATCCCCTTCCGAGACATTGAACTGTCCAATAGTTCGATTGCTTTCTTCACGAAAACGGATGAAAATATCGTTTCTAAACACGAGTACCAATATCACGTAGAACATTATAGGGATTTTCTTCAGTGCGCAGCAAGCAAAAAAAATTCTGGTCCTAAGAATCTGCCCTTAGCCTATGCCCCAATAGTTTTGACTCACCCTGTATAAGAGGGATTGAATCAACGGCATAGTAAAGTTTATGATGGGATCAGAAAAATCCAATATTGAAATCGAATGAACAGTTAAAATATTTGAACAGAGTATATAAACATGAAAAATTCAAGTATTTTGACTCATCAAGATAATAAATCATTAATTTTTTGAAACGCATAGTATTGAATAAATATTTTCTGAATACCTTCGTCATTTTTGTAAACCTAATAGGCCTGTATTTCAACAAGCTAAAACGCATTATGCCGATTTCGCCTATTATCCGTAACATTTACATGGTGTGAGAAAAACGCCTGATATTTTTAAAGCCATATACAATATACATTTTGTCACAAAATATTGGTACGTAATTTTTCTTACATCTTGTATTGTAATTGTAAATATATGTATATATTATGCTCAAAAAGGTAAGAGGTAACTGTTATAAAAACTTTTCCCATGAAGTTTTCGTTATACGAGTGGCCGAAATATTACTCACACTTATTTTCACTTGTATTTAATCTGTTCAATGATGTATAAATTAACTTGGACAATAATGTTTTAACTTTCAATTTTATTTCAAATCCGCAATCTCAACTTATGAAAATTTGAAAAGTTTTGAAGTGGCCTTGTCTATAATACCTAGTTATCGAAATAGTTTCTGTGTTATTCTAGGTTTTGTATATATTATGTGTTGTATTATCATGTATGTAATTATTCATAAATTATCGAAAGAATAAAGACGTAATAGAAACGAATTGTTATCTTTCAAATCATATTACCTAATGAAAATCATACTATGTCTTTTTCATATCTGGAGCCCACGAATGGTAATCCCTATGACGTTCAAGGAAATTCGTGCGTATAGTAGGAGAGCCGGCTGCAGATTTCTACCGTCATCTGATAACGAAATGATATATGTTCCAAAGGCTGGGATAGGTTAGGTAAGGTTCCATGTGAGTGGGGCGAATACCTCCCCTCCACTGCGACCCCAGATGGGTCTATTGTGGCTCACCCCTAGAGGTTACAGTTCACCGTACAATCCACATCTTTTTACAAAGTTCAGAATTGGGTGAGATTTGTCTGAAATCGATAGGTTCTAAATTGGTAAAGCCAAATATGTCGAACCTTAGTCTTTCTAAGCTAGAGCATGAACATAATATGTGTTCAGCCGTTTCGTCTTCCACACAACAGAACCGACAGTCCGTTTGTTGGTTCAGACCCATCCTTCCCAGGTGGTATCTTAGACGACAGTGTCCCGTAAGCAGTCCAGTCAGAATTCGCAGGTTACCCCTGCTTCATTCTAGGATCTGCCTGGTCATTTTTTCGGATGGTTTAGGCAGGAACGCCTTCGAATGGGTTAATCCTGGTAATTCAGACCAGTACGTGAGTGTTTTTCCCTTCGCCCAGCCCGAGATAGTTGTTTTCGCCGCACTTGCGGTGACCCCAAAATATGGTTCTGGTCCTATGAACACAGATTCGGTTCCCTGTTTGGCGATGATGTCGGCTTTCTCGTTACCCTCCACCCCCTGGTGTCCAGGCACCCAAAGCAAAGTGACTCTGTTGTTAGCACCCAGGCATTCTAGGGATTCAATACAGCTCCATACAAGCTTGGAATTTATCTTGCTGGAGCTCAGTGCTTTAAGAGCAGCCTGACTGTCTGATACAATACTGATATTTTTGTTTACTAGAGGTTTATTCGACAACTCTCTAGCACACAATTCGATATTTGCGAATACCTCCGCCTGAAAGATTGTAGCATATTTGCCGAGATTGACGGAAATTTCTGTCTTCGGTTTTCTGCTGAACACACCGGCTCCAACTCTAAGAGGGGTTTTCGAACCATCTGTTTACATTACGTGTTCGGTCTCTGGGAATTGGACTGACCCACTTGCCCATTCGTCTCTCTTCGGGAAGAGGACTTTGAAAGACTTTTTCACGTGTGTCTGAGTGGCCAACATGTTGGGAACCATTCCTAGAGTTTGGTGATTTTTTGTTTCACACAGTTTGATAACCGCATTGCGCCTATTCTCCCTGGGCTAATCCGGGTCTCAAAGGGCCCGGAATTTACGCAAACCCTGTTGCGCCAATGTAAAAATAAGCCTAATCTATAGACTCAGCAGGTTATCAATGACATACTGTCCCTGCTCATTATCGGAACACCCCCTACCCTGACAAATGTTTCAAATCGTACCAAGAATGCGTAAAACAAGGATATCAATTTGAAGCTGCTGAAGTTGCATCAGATTTTGAAAACTCAATTCCCGAACAAAAATTCAATATTCGAGAGTCCCTATTCCTCCATCCAGTAACACGCAATGAACTAACGAATCTGATTTCTAGTTTAAAAAACAATACTTCTGCTGGCCCTGATGGAGTGTTTGTTTATTTGATAAAAAAAAGTCACCAATACTTCCTTGATCCCCTATGTCATATATTTAACAAATGTTTTGTAAATGGCACGATTCCAAATAATTTCAAAGAAGCCACCACAACGCCTATTTTCAAAGCCGGAGACAAAAATCTAGTCACAAACTACAGACCCATATCGGTAATAAATAACTTTGCGAAACTTTTTGAAAAGTGCTTAAAAAGTAGACTTGTAAATTTCCTGGAAAAACATGAGATTTTATCATCATGCCAATATGGATTCAGAGAAAATATGTCAACGGAAAACGCCGTGTTTCACTTATAGTGAATAAAATATTGAATAGCGCCAATGAATAGAAAAAGTGTCTAGCAGTGTTTTTAGACTTGGCCAAAGCCTTTGACACTGTCAATCACGATATTTTGTTACAGAGATTAGGAAATGTGGGAGTGAGAGTGAGAGTCTTTAGAATTATTAGCCGATTATTTACAAGGTCGAACCCAAAGGTTCAAAATTAATGATACCTATAATAGCCAGCCACAGTCAGTCGCCATGGGTGTTCCCCAGGGCACTGTCATGTGTCCGTCCAATTATGTTCCTAATATATATCAACAGCATTTACAACTTGAAAAACATTGAGGGTGATATTATTTCGTTTGCTGATTGACACGGCCTTGATTTTCTATGATAACATAATATGGGACTCTACTTATGCGAAAGCACAAAACGGATTAAACATTATATTTTCCTGGCTGAATTCTAGTCTTCTGAATCTAAACATCGATAAAACCAAATTCTTTACCTTCTCACCAACAACAAGAGACCAACCACTAGAGGAAAACATTTTCATACATACCCCCAACTGCCAAAATCCTTTAATTTGCTCCTGTCCACGTATAAAAAAAACGGATTCCATAAAATATCTGGGTGTGATGCTTGACCAACATTCACGCTGGAAAAAACATGTAGACTTTCTCGTGAAAAGACTTAGAAAACTCATTTTCAAATTCTACCAACTCAGAGACAAACTAAATAAACATTTATTACTAATGACATACGATGCATTAGCAGAATCAGTTATAAGGTACTGTATTATTGTTTGGGGTGGGTTGAATAAAACACACTTACATAATCTTCAAGTAATACAAAACACCTTGCTTAAAATAGTACTGAAAAGAGACAGAAGACATCCAACTAAGAGCTTATACAAGGAGGCTAGCTTATTTAATATCAGAAAATTATACACCTATCACTGTATACTATGGACGATGAACTCGCCTCTTACATATCTAAGACACATACATGACACCCGAGCCAGATCCGAGAGAACAATTAGTGTTCCTTTTTGTAAAAATGTATGTTATGTTTGTTACTTTCTTTGGACCAAAACTTGTCAATCAAGTTCCCATTGAACTACGAAATATAAAAAGCTTTAAAAAACGCAAGAAAACAATCAGATCCTTCGTCGATCACAACTTTGATTCCCTAAAACAAACACTCGAATCTATCTACTGAACCATGTCCGAATAATGTATTAATATCTTATTTAAAGCTGTCTCCCTTTTGCCTGAGTGTCTTGTCCGATCCTCCTGTGAGTTGATCATTGATTTTTGTTGATTCCTGATTCATATTTTTTACTGAAATGAATGAATAGTTTCCTTCATCTTTTTTTTATTATTATTTACCTTCATGGTTGTGTCCAGATCTGGGAAAATACGCAACACAAGCTCTGCTTAGGCGTCTCCCAAGAACTGAACACCACCACTTATTTACTTATCTACTTATTGATAATTTCTTTCGCAATTTAATGCAATAAGATACTATTTATTTACGATATGTAAAATCAACAATATAAAAGAACATGTATGTATGTATCTGAATTGAATTGAATAAATTGATTGATTTATCCTAAGATTCATGTGGCCAGAAACAAAAATTATAGGATGCAGATTTCATTTAAGTCAAGCTTGGATTAGAAAAATCCAAAGTTTAGGGTTGATGTCCGAATACAAAAACAATGATTCGCTCATTGGAAGTATTTTACATTAGACACTTGGCTTGACATTTTTAGAGCTAGAAACAGTAGGAGACTGTGTTGCCTTCGATTTTGATCAAATGTTGACGAATGACGCAAGATTGAGAAATTATCTTGATTATCTTGTTGATAATTATATAAACGAGGATTCTAATCTTTCCTCCTGAAATTTGGGCTTGTGCTGTAACTAGTAGTTACAGAACAACAAATTGCTGTGAATCCTTTGATGCTGATCTAACTTAAAGTTTTTATATTCTTGGAAATATTAGTGGGATGCAGTCTGTGATAACGAGTTGAAACAAAAATCAAATGAAAGGGAAAAATGTCCCTTTTGCGAATATCGAAACGTGATGCGATTCAAACTGATCTAAGTTAGTGGCAGAGTGTCAATATTTCCGTCGATATTTTGACCTCGTAGAAGGATAATATCCGATGGACCAGTGTGAACCTCATGTGGTGCTCACACTACAAGTATTCCAATCCATATGTTGAGTTTCCATCAGATATTATCTCCCTTATATGCATTTCCCCTACTATTGTTACATGACTGCGTGCTCATTGTCGGAATTTCGTGTTTTGTCCCTTGACATATTGACTTTGACTTATGTCTACGACATTATTTAACATTATTTTCAGTGTTTTCTAACTCCATTGGTCTAGATTTAGACACGTGCTGGCTGTTTGCCCCATCAATTTTATTGATATTTTTTTGTTTTAGTAGCACTTTCACAAGGAACCCCTTGAAAACCCCGTTGATTTATGGTGTTATCAAAAAAAAAATCAGAACCTTTTGGCAATCACCCTTCATAAACCATTTTGGTAAGTAGGTATATGAAATTCCGATAAGATGAATTGTATGCGCTCTCAGGACACGGGGCCCTTCATTTATTGAGAACCCGTTTTTTCATTTATAAACTCGATTTTGTGACTAGTAAGATACAATTTTTTGAACTCCAAGTAAAAGTCAAGAACAGATTATGTAATTCTGTCACATCAATCTATTTGTATTGTAGAACTTCCAATTAGGCTGAAGATGGTATTTTATGAGACCGAAACATGTCCCTTCTGATTGTGTAACAACACCATTAAAATTTGTGGCGATTACTTCGTGCATTCCTTCCTTATTCCTATGAACAATGTCACTTCACTTTCAGCAATATGGACTATGTAATTGGCACCACATGGCTGTACTTTTCTATATGTATATCTTACGCCACAGCTGGTAAGTGATGAGTAACGTAGGCAGGTACATTCCCAGTTGATCTCCGATGGCAAAACCATAAAATATTGTCTTTCATTTATGATTCCAGTCCTTATGACTGCTCCAGATTGAATAAACAAATATTTTT